CACCACCACCACCACCACTGCCATCTGCCATCACCATCACCCTTCTTATAGCCATTTCTGCCCCTTACATGGTATAGTTCTCAGTTATAATGGAGAATCACATGGACAGCAGACCGGAAACAGGCATGGGCTATATACGGGTTTATCGGGGTTGTGGGTAGCAAAGAACCCAAGTTGTCACCAGGCAACATCTTAAAGCCTCGTTTATTTACCGTCATAGATAGCACTACTGTTCCGAACTATCTACGCTGTGCCTAGTTGACGGTTTGTGGTGTTTGCCACAAACTTGGCAGATTCCGGCTTTCAGCTTTTCATGTATTCGAAGTATGACTGCAGCACCCTCTAAACTTCAAGGGTGGGTTGGAGAACGAACTGTAGCTCATTAGCTCTTCTGTCTTATGTCACAAAACTGGCTCGCGCTTGTCCTCATGGTTGCGAAAGGGACTGTGCCCAGCAGGTATGGGTAAGCGGCTTGGTTTCTCTGTTGGCATCAATGACTATCCCGTGGAGCCTTTGCGAAAGGCACTGGCGGATACAAGGAGATGTTGCGAAGAGCTACAGAGAATTCACTTTCCTTGCATCGTGTGTGAAAATCCCGACCGCGAGAAATTTGAGAGCTACCTATCCATGTTCTGTGAGCAGATAGCGGAATGCCATGACTTCATTCTTTTCAACTTCAATGGCCATTGTGAGGTTGCAGGTGGAGACTGTGGCGAACCCATGCTGGTTCTCAAGGATGGTAAGCAGATGCCAGTGAAGTCGGTGATAGAGCAACTTGTAAATGCCAAGGGCAGCCATGATGCTACCATCCTTTGCCTCATGAACTGCTGCCGTGGAATTTCCCAAGAATCTGCAGACAAAATCAGAAAGCCAAACAATCGAAGAAGTGCTGGCAGAGCTCTCGTCACTATTTGGGCGTCAGGCTTGGGAGAATTGGCGGAGGACGGTGAGAATTCAGATGGCTGTAGCCCTTTCATGCAAGGCCTTGTTGGGTGCATTGGCTGTGAAGTGATGTTGAGTGAGGTGTATAGCAGAATTTACAATGAAGTGTATTCCCGTTGCTCGAACTTGGGCAGGGCAAAATATCAACAGCCTTGCATTAGTGCTAGCAGGCTTTCTCAACGGGCTGACTTCTTTCTTTCTGCATATCCGGCGCGGAGGCGAGTTGCCTCTCGAGAAGGATTGGGATGCACTAGTTACGGCCGCCAACTTCCAACGGATGAACCTGATTTGGACATGAATGCCCAGTCGAGCACTCTCAGAAGTCCCACTATGGCTGTGCTCCATGACGCATCATACTGTGACCAGCTAGCCTCAGTGGTAGGCGGACATCCTGTGGGAGTTGACTTTGATGCAGGAGGTTCCGCGAATGCCACAATTGGCGCAGACGAAGAGGCAGTTAAGCGCTTTTGGGTACCCATTGTGTTTATTGCAGTTGCGATCCTGCATAGTCTTCTAGTATTTGCATGGTGGAGGGGGTCAGTGAAGCTACAGCGCAGTAGCCGCGACTCCTTCAGCCCAATGTTGGCTTCGTTCATGTGGGCGGCTTTCAGTTATAGCCAGAATGTTCAGCATACGCAAGAGTGTAGCTGCATACTAAGTTCAAAGCTGGCCAGATTCTGGCCCCGAATTGAAACTTTCGCCGTGCAGAGTTTTTTCCCCATGTGCTGGGTCACGCAGGCTTGGGGGCAAGGCTATATCCATGTCAATTCAGGGGAGCTACAAACAGGAGGTGTTTCTTGCCCCGGTACCATGGCTATTCTGGGCGGCTACACCGTGCTCCTTATGAACTATGGACCCCTCACTTTAGAAGACTGGCGTTCTCGCATCTCCTGCCAGACATCACGTCGAGCTTGGAATACATGGAAGCTTGTGTTCTTCTTGGCATGCGGGTTGAGGCTGTATGCCTGGCAAGCTGAGCCAAGCATGGCTGTACAGCGGGGAGAGACAATGCATCATACCTTCCTGGCGATATTTGTACTTGCGCTTGTTTACACTCTAGTGTTTGACTGTGACCCCACTTTTGTGTCGAGAGGAAGGGCCTTGCCAGCGGTCGTGTTCGCGCTGGCAGTCTCTGTTATGGCAGCTCTGGCAAGCTGGTGCAGTGCTTTCAAGGATGGCAAGGATGGTGGCTGGGAGATGTCGTATGCCAGGGGCATCATGCTTTTCCTCGTCTACGTGTCAATATTGTCAACTGCAATGCTCTGGGATTTCTATAACCGGAGCTTCTCTTGCGATTTGGTCCGCATTTCACAGGCCTGGTCAGGCGAGTAAGTCGAGCAACTCTTGAGCCCGGGATGGTACACCCAACCCCAAACCCCCATACCGTGTTTGTATGGGAGCTTGTGGCAGACCAGGATGCTGGAAGGGCAGGAGATGCGTGCTCAAAAACCGGTGGCTCCACGTGGCTTAGGTAGGGGAAGATCCCATTTGTGTACCCGAAAGCACCAGCTGCCGTATTGTTTTTTGTGCTCCAGGATTTTGGCATGTATATGTTACGCGGGTTTGCCGCCAAAGTGGCAGCAATAGATAGAGCTGCCAGTGCTCCTTGATGCTTGTTGGTTTGCTGCTCGCTTATAGTCCCCTTATGTAGATAGAATATGGGGTATATGGGAATCTTATTAGTATATACCCAAAACCATATTCTATTTACTTGAGGGGGACTATAGGATCAAGAATATGAGGCAGTGACGGCTGCACAAGCACGGCTCAAGGGACTTCTTGAAGACGGGATGGAAACACAAAAATATCTGGTCTCATTCGGGGCTTCTTATTGCCAGCGCTCTTCTTACCAGTGCATCATATGCAGGGACAGGCCTAGCTGATTTACGGTCATGATTTGCCTTCAGGTCTCACAGCATGGATATTGGCAGCGTCAGTCACTTGCAACTTTCCTCTTACCACGATCTGTTTGCATAAGCGTTATCATTGCTAATGCTGATTGCCGTGAGGGTTCTGAGCGTCGCCAGTCCTGTCAGCATGACGTGTCCCCGTAGCCGCTGACGGTTTAACCCCTGAAGGAGCACAGAAACCCTGAACCCTACACTTTCGCTATAAACCCCACCCCATACATTCCCTTTAAAAACCCTAAACCCTAGTACTTATTCAGGCCCCAACATACCTGCCATGCTGTTGGCGGACCGACCTGGAATCAGGCTGCTAGCAGGTTGCAGCGTGATCCTCAGCACTCTATTCATTGTAAGGTCCTGATCATGGGTTGACTGGGTTGCTCTTAAGGAACTTACATTAAGGCTATGCGTAGAATAGAGCAGCGAATAAGGTTTCCTTATTACAGCAACTCAAAAATATATTCCTTAACAGCAAACCAGTTTAGGGCTTAGGCTTTAGGATGAATGGGGGCCTCTACGTGTTTCCTGGGTCCTAGCTATAGGTCCTTTCTTTGGTCCATTGGTTATATGAGCCATTGTCTAAACTCCTTATAGGGGGTTATATAGGGGATTATATATGGGACTACTATAGGGCTTATTAAGGGGGATACTAGGAGTTTAGACAATGGCTCATATAATAGGTATATAAGGACCCCGCCTTAGACTCATGCTTGCATCTGGTCATTCCCCCTGACAGCAACTATCAATTAAGGGCTTTTATGGAGGGCTATAACGCTTCCTATTACCTCTTGTGATAACGGTTCTGCTATGGTGGAATGACCCTGCTTGCAGCTCTGGATAGGAGCATGTGGGGCTCTCTCATAAAAAAAAGGAGGGTCCTAGCGATGTACAGGGGCCGCTCTTAGATTACAGCAGCTGCCGTATGCGTATTTTAGGTATTAGATTCTTCGTGGTAGGAATCATAGCTATCAGTTGGGCACGATCATGTATGGATTTGAGGAGTGCCCGCCCTGACGGGCATTAATCCGGAGCGGAAGAGGACTTGTGTCTGCACAGGGGATTGCATACGCAGTTAATGGACTGGACAGTTTGTGGCATACGCCTGAGGCCATGTCCCTGTCCGCAGCGAGCCGAGCTGCAGCAGCACCAATCATCGACGGCTGCTGACTACGAGGAGCTCTGCATGCACATGCAGACCTTGCGGTGCCACGGCCCGCTGTCGCCACCGCCTCCGCCAATGCCACCGTCCCCGTAGCCCAACCGCCCCCACTGCGCCCACATCCACCCACTACCCTCACTACTCTCACCATGCCCAACTCCGTGCTCCACCCCAGCAGCAGCAGCAGCAGCAGCAGCAGCAGCAGCAGCAGCACCGCCTTGGCCGCCGCCGCCACCACCTGAATTATGCTGTTTCATTCTGATTACCATCAGCTATGCGATTCCTATTAAGTCTGGTAACTAGTACTCTTCTTCTTCACTTACTTCTCGCAACGCAGCCGAGAGGTCAACCATTGCCACGGCTAGAAAAGGGAGACGAGTGAGTAGTATTTTGACGGGGCCCGAATGTAGAGCAAGATTATGTTTCTGAATGCTGCATAACCTTCCCTGGTTCAGATTCCACAGGCTACTGAATCCTAAGCCTCAAGCTCCAAAATCCCAACCCCCAAACGCCAAATCCTAAACCCCAAACCCTCAACAACTGCCTCAACCTGCAGGAGCGCTGCCGGTGTCGCAGCCCTTGCTGCCTGCCAGCTGCAGGGAGAGATAGGGGTCAAGGGTTTGGGGGTTTCTGAAGCTCTAAATACCAACACCAAATGGTGCATTTTTCCTCCAAGGCCTTCAGATCAACATGGGTATCGTTATTACAGTACTCCGTTTTGGGATACTCGAGGCGTCTGTCAGAGCATGCTATCGGCCTCGCGGCAGTCGGCACCCTGACAGAAGGGAACCTACCCGCCCGGAGCGGTGACCCTGTCATCCTGACCATCGGTCAGTTGCTGCAGATCTTCAGCATTGCGCTCCAGCGCGAAAACGCTCGGGCGGACCTGCGCCTCTCCGCCACCACTGCTGCCCCTGCTCACCTCCCAGAGCCCTACTTCCCCTTGTAGCGGATTAGTCCTCCCCTTCTCTCGGTGTGTCTGAGTTTTCTGGACTCTCCGGTTCTTTCTCAGGACATGAGCCCTCCGCCCCAGCCTTCACCCTTGCAGCAGCACCTCCCCTGCCCGTGCTCGGCACTGCCCTCTGAGCCGCCCGCCGCCCCTGCTGCTCTCTCTTCTGATTGTTGCTGGTTTTTTCTGGGGTCTTGTTGGTTGTGGTTGGTCAGTGTGGTGTGTTAGCAGGGAGAGCGGGTTGGGCTTGTACCCTTAGTTTTGGTTTCGTTTTCGCCAGGCCGCGGCATGTTTTTCCCACTGGGTTTTTGCCTTGCCTATACAGGCGACCCTTGCGTAGATAAGCTAAGTGGCTGTCATTTTCACACAGCCATGCAACCTCAGAATGATTGAGTTTTGAGCATATTTGTTTTGCATAAGTTTTCAATAGGCATCCGACTGGTCTTGGTGAGGGTTCACGCGCGGATTCTACAGGGTTCCTGGCCCTAAGTTCTGAGAAACTTGGCATGTTTGGAAGGACCCATACTTATAACTTAGGAGGACCCCCCACCCTGTAATAGTGTTAAAGTAGGAACATAAGAGGACCTTACTATCATCACTATTATGCCTTAATAGTCACTATTACAGGGCGGGGGGTCCACCTAACCTATAGCCTATAACCCTAAACTTTAATGAACGCAATCCCCATCCAGGCCACTTGAACACATCCTCCTCGAAGCGAGGTAAACAGGAATCCCGGCCCTTGGGCATGACTTTCCCTGCCTATACTGTATGGGTTGGATTTAGGATTTCTAATCCCCTCCCCCTAACATTAAACCTCCCCACCCACCCCTCCACCATAGTATAATATATTGGGAGTATTCAATTCTAAGGGGGTGGGGAGGTTTTGTATTAGGGGGAGGGGATTTCCTCAGACCCTACATGAGCTATAGTCTAGACTCCTTAAAGGGGGGGCGGGGGTTATATAGTGGATTTTGTAGGGGAGTATCATAGGTTACTAGGCGGGATACTAGGAGTTTAGACGATGACCCTACATCCTGAATCCTGAGCTCTAAAGCCTCCATCCTAAACCCCAAGCACTAGCACCTAAGACTCTAGCCCCCAAACCCCCAAATCCTAAAACTGAAGTCCTACCCCAAACCGTGAAAATCCGAAAATCTACAAATCCTTGAATTGGGATGCCATGATTTATGGTTAGGGTTTAGGTTTTAGGCTTCAGAGTTTAGGGTGTTAGGCCTCTGAACCTTAGGTTCTGGAACCGGCCAGCCGCAGGATTTGTGCGGTATTGGCTCAAGAAGGACCCAATCCGGCTCTCTAAGATTAAGGGATTCATTTACTGGGAGTACCAGCCAAGAATTGCGGGAGTCTAAGAAACATCCAAATCCTAATTCCCCCTACTTCATCTACTTCAGTTCAGGACGATACACGCTACAGCTGAAACCGTGGCCGTAATGCTGCCCAGTCACAACAACTCGTGCCTTAGTACCGAAACCGTATACACCCCGCTACGCTACACCCTGCATCCAAAAGCTGAAGCCCTAAGCAAGTCGCCCTTACCCAAGAATACTAGACCCTATCAATGGGACTGTACCCAAACTCCTGAATTTGGAGCCCCAGGTCCTAAACTCTAAGCTCCAAATCCCACACTCTATGTCCCTGACCCTAAGCCTCTGGAGAAAAGGTACGATGTAAACAAAACAGCTACATCATAAACTGGAAGTCTTAAACCCTAAGCCCTAAGCCTTAAACCCCAAACCGTAAGGCAGTCAGCTTAGGGCGCCGCCGGAAAGCAACAACCCTTCAAAGAGCAGCAGGCCAACGCTGGATCTTCTGAATTTCAGGGTGTAGGGGGTCAGCTTTAGGGTTTTAGGGTTAAGGGTTAAGGTTTTTGGTTGAGGTTTAGGGCAAAAGGTTTAGGTTTGGGTATAGGGGTTAGGTTTAGGGTTTAAGGTTGAGGGTTGCTATTAGGGGACTCAGGCTTAGCTAGAACTAGAAGAAAGTCAAATTTTTATTCGCTATATATCCGCTCATATATCCTGTTGATGGAGGAATCTTGCACCACCTTAAGTCCTTAAAGTCCTGGGAGTTATAGTAGTTTGGGGACCCTAGGTGGTGCAAGATTTCATCCATCAACAGTATATATATGTATATACACATATTTATATATATATATGTACAAGTTATATTCATACTGTAACTTTCTGAGACTGCAAGTTCCTGAACAGAAATGGCAATGGGTTGCGGGGTCAAGTTTTTATCAGGTTTGGCGTTGGGTGTTCTGTGGGGGCCTAGAGTCAAGGATTTCTGGTTCAGGGCT